AAAATAGGAAAAAATATAGCGCACCAAAAAGTTGAACGCAACCATCCCTCCACATTTCATGTGATCGTACTGGTATTCGTTAATGGATTGTAGTGATATGACCAATATGCATGAAAATTTAAAATCTTTGGAAGAAAAACGACATAATTCTGCGAGTAATGTGGTAGAACAAATGAAAAAAGAACTCAAGGTATTTTATGTACTTCACAAAAATGGATTTTAAGAAAGAAATATTGATTAAAAAATTTTATCAATAATAGAAAAAACAAGAAAATACGGAGAAAGCATTTAAGGAACTTGAAGAAGAAATTCAAGACTGGCGGAAAAACCAAGAAGATGAAGCACAAAAACAATTAGCCATCGCTCTTATTGAATTGACTTTAAGCGTTGGAAAAATTGTTATTCAGCCCGGAGGAGTATTAAATTTTATTGAAACGATGAAAAAAGTGTATGAATTAGTCCTAAATGCTTTAGATAATTCTAATCTAGAAGAGGTCATGAAGCTAGTTGATATAACTAAAGATGATGATGTACAAAGGGCAATGGAGCAAGCGAAAGACTTAGAAAATAAAGCGATAAGAATTAATCAAATTAAAGAAGAGCTAAATGCTAATATAAATGAAACAGATATGCTGAAGAGTAACACGGAACAAGATCATAAAAGTGTAAGGACTTTGAATATCGATGATCTTGAAAAAAAGTAAGTTAAATTATTCAGACATAATAAACTACTAAACACAATATTTAACAATTTAGTATCTTTATCAGGCTTGAAAATGAAGATCAAAAAGGAATCCTGTCAAAAACGGAATGGAAATTGGTTGAACTTCGCATGATAAAATTACTTGAATTTGTAAGTATATATTTTTGTTATCATACAAGGATCTCTATCATTTTCCCAACAATCATATTCCCGACAAATAAAATCCTGACAAAATTGACCAGAACTAACCCTAACCCTGACCTAATGCGGGTTAACTTGATGGGATTTTGACACTCTCAGGAAAGAGGTTGTCGGGGAAATGATAGGATCCGATCATACAGTGATTAAGGTGATCCGCAGTAAAATTTGGTGCATAGGATTGATCATACTCTGGGACTATTGCAGGAGTTAACTGTATTATATACGAGTGCTGCAGAGCAAAAACCTGTAACTGGTCATAGTAAATCATTATGATCAATTACAGGTTTTCGCTCTGCAGCACACATATTAAAACTTAATACTCCAAGCTAGTTTGTGTTGAAACTAACCAAAAAAACCAATCCGACACAACTTATTAACAACCCTATTGGTGCAGTTTACGTATTATGACTGCAAATTTTTAATACTAATTTTTTATTTAGCAAATTAAATATTTAAATCAGTCAATAGAAAACATTTCGTGTTTTTGACTACCGTAAAGTGCTGACTGATGTATCTGGATATTTATAAAGAGTAGAGATGTAACTGATGTACATTTTTCATTCTACTTTGCCAACCTTTAATGTTTTTACCAACTTGGTATTCTCCAAAGAGGCATGAAGATGCAATATATTACGTATAGTATTCGAATATAATCTGGATACAAATCATCGGGAATCTACAAAGTCAACACTTTACGGCATAATATTGTAACATTGTTACGGTATATTCCAACATTATGATAATATCGTAGTAAAGCACCAATTTTACTGAGAATTTATCTTCTAACTTAGGATTAATCCCTTAAATAATAACGAATAATTATTAATTTTAAAATTTATCTTATATAATATTTAATTAGCCAATTCAAAAAGATATTAAAGGTGCAAAGGAATATTCAAATTCTTTAGAAAATTTTTTTATTTTTATAGACGCATACATAAGAGCCAAGATTGAAGAAATTGAAAGTTGTAAAGAACTTTTAAGAACTAAATTGCAAGCAGAAACTTCAAAAAGAAAAGAAGAACGACTTGAACAAAGGATTAAATATTACAAATCAAATCTTGAATCAAAAAATTACGATGAAATGAAGCTTCAATTATTCGAAAGTCTTATAATTATCAAGTTTTGGATGATGGTATACATGGAAAACTATATTTATGCTTATAAGTATTGGTCACTTTCTGAATCAAAAATAAATCTTTCAGTCATTAAAAACTTTCGTGATAACGAAAAAGATAAGGAAAGCATTTGTCGTGAGTTAGAAGATGCCTATATAAGTTTCGGACATAATCCTGATTCTTGTATGGAAACTATTAAATTTAATGAAAAAAGATATATTGAAGAGCTTAAACGTGATAAATCTGTTATAATAGAAATTCCGTTTAATCAGAAAGAATTAAAGAAACGTGCGCATTTGAGGCTTCACAAATTTAGAGTGTACTTAGAAGGGGCTGTATCTACCGATGAATCTATCTCTATATCTATTAGTAATACGGGAAAATTGGCTGATAGAGACGAAAAAAATAATGAATATAACTTTAGATCAGAACCATTGGGACCCAAAGGATTCAAATACAGTGTGAATGACAAAAATGTAATTAGTAGTGATCCCAACTTTTATGACAAGAATAATAAAATTTATTTTGTTCCAACGCCGTTCAGTCAATGGAAAATTAAAATTGATGATGATGATGATAAAGTTGATTTGGCTGAATTGAAATCTATTGATATTTACTTAGAATATACGAGTAAATTAGTAACTTAATTGTAGCAAAATAAATAGTGCAACTGAACTTTATCTAGTAAAATAAATAAGTTGATTTCATAATTTGAAACGTACTTGTTATTTGGAAAAGATATGAATGTCACCAGTTTAAAACCTGTAGGTAAATATTCAAATTTTCTCTATATCGGAAAATTTACGGTACATAATGGATCAGTGTTTAGATCATTTTCATAGTGTCATTTTAATAAATTTTTTTTGATCAAAAATAAATAGCTTTTTTTAGTGTATGTAATATATCTTTAAATCATAATTTTTAATAAAGAAAATCCAGTACACGTGTTTGAATTAAAGTTTAACTGGTGAAAACTAGTTTTTTAACCGACAAAACGTGCGTGTCATTAAAAAAATGAATAGGATACGTAGTTTATTACGTCAAAAATAAATTACAAATAGTTTATTACGAAAAAAAAAAAATACAAATAGTTTATTACGTCAAAAATAAATTACAAATAGTTTATTACGTCAAAAATAAATTACAAATAGTTTATTACGTCAAAAATAAATTACAAATAGTTTATTACGTTACGTCAAAAATAAATTACAAAGTGAAAACTGTTCAAAACTTTATTAGAGCAAATGGGGTTATTGTTCATGCAGGTTCATACATTTTACTAAGGACCTTTGCTATCGAACTAACACTGTTATTGGTTTTTTTTTTTCTGTTTAAAATTTTTTAGCAAATATACATTATATACATTAGAAAACTCAAAAATAATCTTGACAAAATTGTATAATAAATATTAAAATTAGTAAATGCATAAAATAAGCAATAGATGTGGTCGGATATTTGCGAATTTTCGATTGCATTTAATAAATCACATAAGATCGATAATGAGTATTCAGTCATTAATTGAGGTCTTTTTCTGATCTATCGTGGCAATTGAGAGTCGCTACAATTATTAGTAAACACAGTAATAGCATTTCTCTATTCATATTCTATTGATTTTTTTATATAGCTAAATTTACGTCATAACTAGTACTATTCTGACAGTATTATTAGATTGTGCTTTCAATAGCATAAAAAATTGATTGGAAGCTTTCAGCCAAGATTTTATTAAGAAATAAGTATTTTCAAGGTCCCAATTAACAACATTGAATTCTAAAAATTATGTATAAGATAGCTGTGCAACGCAGCTGCGCTAGAAATCAGGAACGGATGTTATAAGTGAAGTTCTAATTTGAGTACAATTAGTAGTGCCGACAATTTTTTTTTATATGACTAATCTACGTAAAATGATATTAATTGTTGCGCCTGAAGCTGCAAATTGCCGAAGCTGGAAATTAGGGACCTCGATTTTAAAAGATAAACCCTATCAAAATCCACCTATACTCTTTTATTACCAAAACTAACCCTAAATATTAACCTAAATGTAAAAAAAAATGTTCATATTAAAATATTTAAAATTTCCAGCTTCAGCCATTTCCAGCTTCAGCCGCGACATTTATTAATGTTAATAACCATAAACTTCGAATCAAGTTCGCCTTACATCCAAATTTAGGTAAGTTAGTATTACATTTAATATTTCGATAAAATTACATACGTATAATTTCTTGTGTCTAAAATTTCAAATACAAAAGACAATAGCTTGTCAGAATGTAAAGCATTAATTTATTACCAAAAATTGGCGCTTTGCATATGATTATTATTATACTTAGAAGATGTGACCTCATTATTTTCTCAATGTTGATTGTGGGAAATTTCTAAAATTCTAAATTACCTATTTCAATTAGTCATGGCTAAATTTGTTTGAAATCAAATTGTTTAAGAATCAAAAAATCTGCACGAATAGGCGTTATTAACCTAAAAAATTTCATTATCTGGTCAAATTAAAATTCAAGGTCAAAAAACAAATACACCTAAATCCTAATCTTAACGCTAGTAGCGAAATTTTTTTATGTCGATGATGCTAGCGTCATGGATTTTCAGTGATTTCACGGTCACCTTTTTGCAAACTGTCATAATATAAAGCATTATTTTATAATAAATCGGGTAAAGCTAATAGAACGGTTGATATTAGAGATTGTTACCAATATGGGATTGGAGTAAAAATATGGCTTTCAATTGTTTAATCGTTAAAACTAGGCAACGAAGCCACCTACATCATCATGATCTAGTTTATAAATTAAAAAGTAAAAAATTGTATTACGTAATTTATACGTCGTTTACCTAAAAAGTAAAATGTTCTATTATTCAAAAACTGTGTAACTTATACTTTTTTTGTAATGTTGTGACGCCAAGACTTAAATAATGGCAATTTCATTAAGAAGCTTCAGAGGAAGAATTAACTCAAAAAGACGAATCCATTATCATAATCGCAGAATCATTTGAGTGCCGCCAAGTGAAACATCAAAGAAGTATAAATATAGGATAATATTTTATTTTATTAGTTAGACGTTCTGCTTTCCATCACTTATTTATTTTCCACGAATTTAAATTTCGTCAAAATTCAATTTATTCAAAATGAAATATTTTCGATTTATTCTCATTGTTACTTTCGTTATTTCATTCATCACAAACTCACACCAATTAAGTTTAAATCTCTCTTCAGATTGCTCCGCGACCGTTGAAAATTTTCTAAACTCACAAGATTTCAACAAATGTTTTCCCTATAATAAAACCAGTGATCAATTTGACAAGATTAAGGTTACTCAGGACAAAGACATTTTAAAATACGGAAATGAGATTAGAACTATAGCAGAATCAATGTGTAGCCTTCCAAAATGTTCTGACTCCGAAATTTCAAAATTCAATTCTGATTTTCATTCGAAATGTCAATCAGACATCGATAGAAGAAGTCCCGATGCTTTACAAATATCTACACTGATTTATGCATATCCAGCAATTAGAGATATAGTTTGTTTTAGAAATTCTACGGGCGGATATTGTATTGTTGAAACTATACAAAATATTAATATGAATCTAATACAAGGGGGCGATTTTTCGAATCTGACTGCGCCAGTTTTGTGTACAACTTGTAATAAGGCAATAGTTAATACTTGGATGAATTATGTGAAATCGCACAATCCTCCATCTGAAATTAGTAGTCAAGTTAATAATGAAACTGCTTCCGCAAACTATCAGGTCACTAGAGCGTGTGGTCCTTCATTTTTAGGTACGTACATGTATTTTTTTTTTCAATGTTAACTATTATCTTAAATTAAATCTAATATCTTAATTAAATCTAATGTTTTTAAACCGAAAATTTCTAGACGGAAATGTTCCTATTTCTCCAACTAGTGCTGGCGTAACTATTTACAACTTGAGTTTTACAATGTTGGTCGCCTCCATCTTAGTATCGCTTATTTTGAATTTTTTTTAATTTCTAAAAAAATTTAATCTGATTAATGAATGTAACTATTTTTACAAAATTTTATTAAGATAAACTTAAGTAACATATTTAAATGTAACCAAAATCTGCCAAATTTATTTTAAATTAGTAAATTATTTATAACAATGTATATGATTATAAATGAATGCTATAATATTGTAACTTTTCTATTTATTGAAATATTATTAAACATATTGTTATATTGATTTCTTTATAAAAATGATTTTTATCGTTACTGTAAATGTTATTTCTTAGGCATACAAATATTTAAATGCCAACTAGTTTACACTTTGAGCATGATGAAATATTTTAAATTAAATTTGTATTTACGTAGCATATAAAGTTTATTCATACGGATGCTACTAGTTTATTAATGCTTCCTTAGTAATTTCCACATGAACAAAGAAAAATAAGAGGCTTCCAAATTTGAAATTTAGCCTTATAAAGTCATTTAATTCCAGAACCTTCGTTTAACGCTTGAAGCTTGATGAATTAAACATAAAATTTCTCCGTGCTTGCATGTATAAGGCTAAAACCATAATTTTCATTCACTTTTATAGGTACGGCACCTGAATAATCTGTGACAACATTAGAGTAAAACGGTATTGTTCTGCGTCATTTCTTAATTTACCTCGATTACAGTACCCTCAGAAAATATATCACCGTAACACAAAAACCACGAATTTTCAAATTTATTGCTTAGCAAATTAATAAATATTGATACAGTATACCAATTCAGCAATATATCATTACAATACATATGGGTTGTTGCCCAGCAAAACCATGCTTAGAGTATATAAAAAATATATACTCTAAGCATGGTTTTGCTGGGCAACAACCCATATATTAAATGACAATGCATCAATATTTGCAGCAGCCTAACCTCCATTAGAAATAACTTCAGCAATATGATTTCGAATACTGTTGCATCTATTCCTCTAAAAGCATTTTTCATATGTTCTTGGGGGTCTTCATTGCTGCATACTTATCTTTTAGTATATTCCATATGTACTTTTTGTATAACCGTGATATACTTTCTGAGGGTACTGTATATAGATGGGTGACGAAATTATTTTCGCAATGACGAAATTGACGAAATTATAAGTGACGAAATTATTTTCATAGTGACGAAATTGACGAAATTCTTATTTCGTCAAATTTCGCCAATTTCGTCACCCATCACTATACTGTACGTACGTACGTACGTTGTAAAAGTGTGAAAATGCTCTGTAATACAAGAATACACTACAAGGAGGAACCTTCACCCGGTGTGCAACATATAAAAAAATTATTTTACAATAGTACATGTTATGATTATACGTAATCCATTTTACGTATTAAAATAAAAATAGTGTGGGATTATAATCATAACATGTACTAGCGGAATGATCTGGTATTGTAACATAATTTTTTATATGTTGTACACCGGGTAAAGGATCAGTCGTGTAACATCGACAGCTCCTCCTGTTACACTATACTAATACCAAAACAACTCTAGCTAAACCCTAATAGTGGTAAGGCTGCGTTCGAGGCGTGGAAAAATTTGGTCCGAGTAACTAGGGTCAATTAGAGTTCTAGAATACGTCACGGGTCTCTTAATACGAAGTCACGGGATCTGGTCACTAATTCCTATCGCTATCATTAATACGGATTTTACTTATCGGTGGGGATTAGTAGAGCCAAACACTTCTACTAAAGAACTTAGAAGTTTCAAACTCTGAAAGTTTAACACTATAAGAGTGAATCACAAGTTAAATACTCTGATTTCTTTAACTTTGAACTCCCAAAAGTTGTCTTTATTGCAAATGATATAAATACTTTACATATGTAATATAATAATATCTATACTAACTAATAACTATTCAAACGATTACTATTATTACTATTTACTAGGAATTCGGCTAATTATCATGATTAACATAATAACGATAATAGCTATTTTGAGAATTCTTGGAATTTTCAGAATTCGTACTACATTGGGAACCGCAGTAATTTCGGGGGATAATTTCGTCCTTCTTTAATTTTCGCCGATTTGAACCGGGTAAAATCGCCACCCAAAAAACTTTCAAAATCATGTGATATTTTCAATTCATAATGATTAGGATCATGATAATAATATTTATAAAATATTAATTGATTTAACGATTTATTTTCTTCGATTCTTCAAAATGAAAAGCGATCGTTGCAATCTCGGCAAACCAAAAGATTCTTTTAAAGACATAAAATTCAATAAACAAAAATATTCTAAAAATATACATCGATTGCCGCAACCAAATCTCCATTAAATAAAATTATAAAAACTAATCAAGAAAATATAATAGTCACACCGTGTGATAAATCAATAAAAATTATAATAAAAACATATAAATTTACTATAAACTTTAAGCTCAAGATCCTTTTTAACTTACAAATTAACTTATTTTCAAATTTTGGAGTTAAACATATCGAGAATAGTAGAATAAGATTACTTAAAATGACTTTTTAAAATTTCATAAAAATTGAAGATTTTACTAGTAAAACTTTATGAAAAAAATTTTTTACTAATTTTGAAAATGCAATTATGTGTAAAATTTTACGCTGAACAAGCTGGCTTAAAAGACAAAAATAGGTTATCTTAGTAGAAAAAAAGTTTGTTATAGATAAACTTCAAAATTTTAAGTTTTTTTATATAAAGCTTTTTTTTTTACTAAGATAGTCTATTTTTGTCTTCTAAGTGAATTTGTTCAGCACAAAATTTTACATATTGTACATCTCACCAAATTTCATTTTTTGAACTTTTTACTAAATAAAAAACTGGTTAAAGTTATATAAAAAATTTTATTTTTAAAAAAATTTTTTTATGTAACTTTAACCTAGTTTTTTATTTAGTAAAAAGTTCAAAAAATGAAATTTGGTGAGATATATAATATGTAAAATTTTGTGCTGAACAAATTCATTTAGAAGACAAAAATAGATTATCTTAGTAAAAAAAGTTTTATATAAAAAACTTAAAATTTTGAAGTTTATCTATAACAAACTTTTTTTCTACTAAGATAACCTAGTTTAGCGTAAAATTTTACACATAATTGCATTTTCAAAATTAGTAAAAATTTTTTTTTCATAAAATTTTACTAGTAAAATCTTCAATTTTTATGGAATTTTAAAAAGTCATTTTAAGTAATCTTATTCTACTATTCTCGATATGTTTGACCCCAAATTTGGAAATAAGTTAATTTGTAAGTTAGAAAGGATCTTGAGCTTAAAGTTTATAGTAAATTTATATGTTTTTATTATAATTTTTATTATATATTAACAGTCACATATCAACAGGTGTGACATATTTCCTGACTGATAATTGCACCAGAAAACCTTGTAGACTTTATTTTTAATGCTCTTTTGGAAGACTATAACTCTGATTATTTATTTGAGCAAAAGTTTTTATAATTCTAAATCCAGAACGCAACAAAAAAATTATTGAAAAAAATATAATGAATCCAAATAGTAACAAATGGCTCGATAATATTAATAAAAACTTTATGCCATTGCATAAATTGGAGGATTATAAAAGACAATGGATTTATGGGTGGATTTTAGTAGGGTTTATATTTTCAAATTAAGGCCCCAAATTTCAACATCATCCGATTTCAGCATCATCGAAATTAATTGATGTAAAAAGAAAAAATAAATAAATAAAACCTTTGAATTAAGTTTAAATAATTGTCGCAGCTGATGCTGAAATTCGAACCCCGTTTTTATTTTTTAGGGCTAGGTTAGGATTTAGGGTTAGAATTGATGATTAAAGTGTATATGTGAATTTTTAGCAGAGTTTATATTTTCGAATCGAGACTCTAAATTTCTGCATCAATTGCGAAAATAAAATTTCAATTTTCATTATTAATTTCTAATGATGGGACGATACAATTTGCTTACTCATAAACCTTTGATCGAATATTAGATATTTTTATTCGTCAAAGGAAAAACAAACGTTCTTTAATAGATCGAAATAAATATAATAGTTGTTTAACTGTACAGTCTACCTCTGTATAATCCCAAGTTGGTTGCGCTCTAATGTGATGACTTTATAGAGATGTGATTATGAATAAAATATTAGATTATAATCACATATAAATAACCAATTGATATTTAAAATATATTATTATACCAGTGCTGCTCACTTCACAGACATTACTCACAAGTTTATTTTACAAGCGAACAAGTTCATTTTATGCAGTTTCATTTCACCAACAGCTTATTTCATAAACGGTTATTTTATTGATAGCTCATTTCATCAACAAAGTAATCATAGTAATTGTTGATAGGGTTAGAATTAGAATTATGTTCAAGGTTATTGAAAGTTAAAAAAAAAACTTACATACGAAATGAAATAAATTGTCCATGAAATTAGCTGCTTATGGCATGAACTACATATGAAATGAATGAGTTTATCTGTGAATTGTCTGTAAAACAACCTTTTTTGCGAATTGTCCATTGTTTTCTGTAAAGAATAATTAATCAACACTGTGAAAAAATATCTCCAAATCTAAAAATAAAAAATGTAGTTATGTAAATCTATAACAAACATTTATTTTCCAAATAAATTCATGTAAAATATATTCATAATGTAATTACTGCTCAGTTCAACATTTAAAGAACATGAAGAATGCTCTTAAAACTACTAGAAACATTGGAAAACACTGAATAATCAGAGTACAAAATAACAAAAAGATCAAATTTAGAAAAACTGTATTTCACAAATTTAAGCGTATTTTTCATATTTTAAAATAAAAACATTGAGAACATTTCGCTGTTGGAGAAGTATTTCTGTTATTCTGACTTGGAATGATTAAAGAAAAACAAATCTTTTTATAATTATATTAACATGATGTTTTTAAAAATCTTTTTTTTCATTATTATATTTAGTTCGATATATTTTTTGGCTACTTGCAAAATCTGTCTAATCCACTATATGAACAAGCTAGTTCTCTAATTAGTACTAGACTTTATTTTTTTGGTGTCTGGATTCAAGTTTTATCTCTCACTAATGAAGTATGATATCTCGATTTATTAATTTCGTTTAATACAACCACTCCACCATGGCACAAAGATGTTGGAATGGACTGCCAGTAGAATATAATTTGGTAGTTCATGTGTTAGTCTTATTGATAATTCATCTGTTTTTCTAATTGATGGAAGAATGTTTATTCCAAATACAGATATTTCTGATTTTTTTTCATCTGTATACGTATTTAATTCTAAGAATTCACGTTTGACAATATCAATTATTACTGGACTTAAACAACACGCAAAGAAAATTATTTTTGGAAGAGTAAATTTTAATTCTTCAAACACCTCAAATCCTGTTTTTTACAATGATATAAATATTTGATATTATTACTATGACTTGGTCAACACAAATTTAATCCCGTCTGTACTTACTCGTGTTAATCATAGTACTACATTGTCACCAAATGGTCTTATCGTTTATGATTGTGGACGTGGAGGCTCAAACTTAGAAGTTCACTCATTACCACTCCTTTTTTTAAAAAAAATTTTGCGTTTATTTGAAATCATGTAAAGGTCCAAATATTCGACACAACCTCTTACGCATGTCAACTAAAATATTTATTTTCATAATTAATCATATATTTTTATTTAGGCAGTTTGTGATACTTTGGCCAGATCTCGGATCAACTTATGAAATACCTATACACAAATATCTATGAATACATATACTTTAAACGTCCATAGTCTCATCTTCCCTTGACAACACTCAAATAATATAAAGTATAGGTTATTTGCATTGAATACGACCTTATAGAACATAGTAATTACTATGACATTTTCTAGCAAGAACATATTATTTAATATTATTTTAGTATATATGGGGAAATTAGTTATATAAGGATTTTAAAATAAATTTTCATTACGATTTCACATTTGAGAATTAATATAAAAATCATAAACCATGAAGATATTGGTAAGCATTGTAAATATCAAGTTGCTATTAAAAAATATATATCAAAATAATTGAAGCATACAATAATTAAGTAACGCATCAAAGAAAACAGTGTAATGGTGGGAATTGAAAAATTATTCCTAAAGCTACATATGAGTGTCACTAAAAGAAAACCCGAAAATTTAAATATAAGTCATTTAAATTTTCGGGTTTTCTTTTAGCGACACTCATATATTATTGATCCACTATGTTATTAATACATCGGGAGGTTTGAAGTTCGATTGTAATCGATTAATGATAATTATCATCAGCAACGATTAAATGAGATTAAAATTTAATGAATATAATCTATATAACAAAATAACCACTTGAACATGATTATTATCAGGTTGATTTAAATTAAATATCAACAACACAAGTTATGATAATTCTTGAAATTAATCATAATCAATTAACTGTGTGCAATTATTAGAAAAATTTGAACCCCAATCATAATTGATTACAAACAGGTAATCAAATAATTTCAAGTTATTATTATTGGTGGAATTAAGATTCAATTTAAATCAAATTTATACGTAAATTTTATAAAAAATTGAGACAAGAATTAACATAAAAATTTTGTTTAAAAAAAATTACAAAAGATTTTATCATAATTACACGCTATCTGCCTTTTTGCTACCAAATACTATTTCCGACAACTTTTGATCAATTTCCCGCGTGTTAATTAGTTTGCTTGTATACATGTGATCCGGATGTTTTTGCTCGACGATTGAAACATAATCTATTGTTTCATCAGCTTTTAAAAATCGATTTTTTAATTCATTCGCTTCATCAGAATTGAATTCATAAATCCAAACTCCAAAAGAAGACTTAATTTCTTCAGCATCAGGTCTTTTATTAGGATTAGAATCCATACA